GCGCAATTAGAAGGAGAGTATTGTGTCCCAAAAATTGTGACGGTCGGACAGACAGACGAACGGATAGGTGATAGAAAGAATGAATTGTAATAGAGAGATGTTCTGCAGAGAGTTATTGTGTTCCAAAATCCCAGCCAATCAAATTAATTATCGCTCTGCTTACCCCTTAGCAGAAAATGCCCATTATCGAACTCAGTCAAGGTATTGATGTAATGAAACTATACACCAAGTTTTATCACTCTTACTTAAAATGAACTAAAGTTATCGTGTCCCAAAGCATCAACCAATCAAATTGCTTATCTCTGCTTACCCTAAGCAGAAAATGCTCATCTTCGAACTCCATCAAGGCATTGACCGAATAAACACCTACACCCAGTTTGGGCATTTTAGCTCATATAGAAGGAGAGTTATTATGTCCCAAAAAATGTGACAGACGGACGAACGGACGGACAGACGGATAGCTGATGGAAAGAATGAATTGTAATAGAGAGATGTTCTGCAGAATATTTCATCTAATTCTGGTTTACTTCTAAAATTATATGGTTGGATAACTAATTTGAAACCGTTTCATTAATAATTTTACATATTGTTTGTAATTTGTGTCTTTTTCTTCTTTCATTCAAAGGAATAATACCAGTTTCCAGATAGAGTAAACGGTGGCTGGTTCCCGTTACAGCCCCACAAATAGTGCGTAAGGCGCCAAGTTGAAGGTGCTTTTATTGGTTCGCTAGGTGATCAGTGCAACTGTCCCAAATAATGTCGGTGTAGTCGAAATGCGGTAGTATTTAAGAATGGTAAATTACGAAAAGTGATTTTCTATTGAGCCTGTACTTTAGGGATCTTAAACAATTGATTAATTTTGATGCTTTATTACAAATATTATTTATGTGGATATCCCATTTAAGTTTGTGTTGGAAGAAAAGACCAAAGTGCTTGTGATTTTGCACATCATTTATTTTAATAATGTGGTGGTGTGGTTTGATGGATATTGTTAGGGACCCGAGTAATCACCGGTGTATTTATTTGAAAGACTACCGGAATTCATTTCAAATATATATACTATTCAAAAAAAGTAGGGGATATACAGAACTGCGGAAATGCAATGCTGTTTTTATTAGAGGTAACCAGTGTATGTTAATAACAGGCCAACTGCCTACACATGAACATAAACAGTTCATAATATGGGCGGCTTATCTGACGGCCCTATTTCACTCGCAAAGAGATACACAGTCAAAAGTAAAAATGGACGTTTTTGATATTTGTCTCAATAATGAGTAATTGCTCCACCAATCCTCAGACATTCAGCAATTCGTCGTGGCATGCTCTTAATCAACTGCCTAATCACGATTTGGGGCAATCTGACCCACTCCTCTTGCAGCGCCATGGCCAATTCTTGCAGTGTTGTCCGTTGACGTCGACGAACACGTCCCCCGATCAAATTAAACGTAACACACTAAAGCAAAGATACGCTAAACAGTAAATCTTATGCAAGAACCGATAGGAAAGCAAACATGGATAGATAAACCAGCACACGGCAGTTTTCATCAACCCTTCCTTGAAGTGTCAAATTTGACAATGAACCCTTCCCACGTGTATGGCGCTATTGCGTGTCGCATGTGGAGCTCAGAGGTTCTGTTGGGGCGATAAGTTCTTCATCTGTGAACATACTCTCAAAGCATTTCAAATGTCCATAACTATTTATCATATCGCAAACTGCATTGGTATTTGCATTTCAATATCCCCTACTTTTTTTAAGAGTATATATGCATCATGATTATGATAACGTAGGGCAGGGCACGTCGAATTACCCAATAACTCCAAAACAACACCCAATAACTCCAAAAATGTTGACTGTGGAAACACAAAATAACAATTTAGTTGAGTTTAAGAAGCCCCGCTGCTTTGTGCCCAAATTGGAGGTTCATGAGAGATAACTCGTGTATGTGATTTTTGTTGACAAGAAACTATGTATACTTTCGATGCAATTCGTTGCAATGTATTGTAATTAGTGATTGATTAATAGTTTATTAAAACAGTGGGGCGGATAGGTGAAATGGGCGTGCACTTCTAGAAAGAAGCATGAAAATTTGGCCATGGGGGTTTTGGGGTATGCTGATTTCAAAAATGACGGGAACCACGACGTCATCCAGACGTTCCCGCCAAAAATTAAAAAAATCAAAATAGGCGTCATAAAACACGTTCTCGTCCATAAAATTTCTGTAAGTGCATCGATTTCAGTGATCTTGATGTCTATACCTATGTTTTTGAGGTCAAGGAATCCAGTAAACACATACATATTACATGCTTTGCCACTACATGTATTTGCGTAAAGGGACGGGGCAATACATGTAGTGGCAAAGCATGTATATGTGACAGTCAATGTCTACAATCAGGCAATGTGTACAATGCCTGAAATATACCAGTCAATGTGTACATTGCCGGGTTAGGGTAAGGGTTGGGGTGGGGGTTAGGGTTATAAAGACATTGTACACATTGCCTGATTGTAACATATATATATATACTCAGCCAAATTAAAAACTTGACACTCGCGATTTTTGGGACTAGGTTTTTAATATTTGGTTTAAGGCAACTATGTTTGTGTTATGTTGTGCACAGACGACCTTGACATCAACGGCCAATCCAGGACTTGGACAACGGCATTTCTTAAAAAATTCTAGTAACAATTGCTGTATGGGGTCGAGCATTGTCTTGTTGAAACGTTAGTCTAGGCCCATGTCTCTGCATAAACGGAAGAAGAACAGGTTGCAAAATGTGATCCCTGTACTGGACAGCATTTCCGTTCCCTTTGACAACAACAAGAGGAGAACGTCCATGTGCACAAAAAGAACCCCAAACCATGACGCTGCCGCCACCAAATCGGTCAACTTCTCTGACGCATACTTGAGCGTAACGTTCACCTCGTCTGCGGTACACTCGGGCCCTGCCATCGGCAAATCTCAAAGTGAATCGAGATTCGTCACTAAAGACAACCGAATTCCACTGTCTTTGAGTAAATCTTATGTGTCTTGTGGCCCACACAAGTCGGTTACGGCGATGAAGAGGTGTCAATATTGGTCCATTATAGGGCCTCCTAGCTCGAAGACCAGCAGTCTGCAAGCGATTTCGAACAGTTTGTGCAGTTCCCCTTCCACCAAACATCTCTCTACTTGTGGAGGTTGCAGTGACAAATCTGTTTCTAAGATGACGTAATCGTATTGCTTGATCTTCCTGGAGTGACGTCACACGTGGCGCTCCCGCCCTTGGGCGGTCGGCAATAGTTCCAGTTTGAAGCACTCTCATTCTAAGATTAATTATTGTCTGGCGTGAACAATTAAAGGCTCTTGCAACAGTGACCACAGACTGACCAGCATAGAGCCTACCTATAGCACGTAGACGTTCTACATTTGAAAGGCGCGGCATTTTCTAACAAAGATGAAAATAACAATTTTAATTGGTTTTTCCAGTTCAAGTTACGTGTGCGTGTTCAGTTTAAGCAAACTTGCATCGATTGACCTCACGAGTTTGTGTTTGCACGTGTTTTTCAGGATTTTCATCTTTATATGCTCAAAAGTCACGTGATCCACGTGACTTTACAATTTTATGAAATTAAAGGCTTCTTACTACTTACTATCGTTAGAAACACTTTACAATTTATTTCACTTACCAGAAAAAAATTTTTGTTGAAATTCATCAGTGTCAAGTTTTTAATTTGGTTGAGTATATATAGTGGCAAAGCATGTAATATATATATACCAAATTTTAGATGACATTTAAAATATGCCTTGATGGTCGACGGATCTGGCATGTGCATCTATATCGGAACGCAGCATCTTGGGTATGAACCCTGCACGAAGTTTCTGGCTCAATTTTAGATAAAACTTAAAATATGCGTTAGCGATCGAAATATCCTGGATTGGTTTGAATTTGGTGAGCACCAGACCTTCAGTTCGAGAGTAATCCTAATTTTCCGAAAACATTGTGAACGCGATACAGGCTATAGTTTTTAACAGATTTTTTTTTATCGAATTAGGTTATGTCCGAAACCCCATCAGTATGCAACCTTTTGTAACCTACCTTTAACAGATTTAATTCTTGTTCGATGTAAATCGTTGGGGCAATGAGAGAATGAGCCCTGTCGGTTTACGCCGTCCATCAGTGTTCCCTGACCTTCTGTTCCAGAGTTATCATCCCCCTTTTCCGAAAATCTTATGGACCTAGAAGCTGTACTTTTACATTTGACGTTTCATTTCCTTTTTCTCAATCCGATTTCAAGTGAAATGAAATAATGTTTATGAACAAACACAAAAAATAACTTTGCTCTACTTGCGTATTTCCAGATTACTTAAATAATATCAGAATAATTTACTATTGCACATAAAATACTTTATTTTTCTTTAGAGAATATAATAGCCTAATTTTTCTGTCAAAATTGCAGAGAATGATTTACTTTTGTACCTACGTTTGAAAGAAAAATGTCATGTTTTGGGGTTATATAAAAAGGCACACTTTCACATGTCCTCAATGGGCCACCATATAGTAAACAGCGCCACCGGTTACCATAATGAGAGTTAGAATTATGACTTATCACATCGGGTTAAAAGGGAGTCATAATTCCAATGCTCATTATGCTAACAGATGGCGTTGTTTACTATATGGTGGCTCATTGGGGACGTGTAAAATCTCGCCCTTTTCATAATCCGTCAGACATGACAACATTTTTCTGTCAAAACTAATAAAATATTTTAAGTACAAAAGCAAATTGTTCTAGATGTTTCACATGAATAAATAGGCTACGTTGTCGTGCATTTGCCCTAATACGACCACATCGATTGATTTAGCCTCTTTTTTTGCAATATCCGTTCTCGATATTTTTGAGAGAAGTAATAGGGCATTTTTTCTCTAAAGATATTTAAATTATAAGTAAATTATTCTGATAATATTTAAGTAATATAGAAATACACCAGTTGAACAAAGTTTTGTTTTGTGTTTGTATTGGTTTATAAACAATATCTTATTTTATTTGAGATTGGATCGAGAAACAGGAAATGATAATTCAGATATTAAATTACAACAAAGACCCATCACACACACACACACGACATGGATTCCTTAAGCAAGCTGCGTCCACATCTGTGCAAGAAATGGACGAATAACAGTGAAAATCGATAGCCCCCTCCCCCAATTTTCCGAAATGCTTCACATCGAAGATGAAAAATAACTGCAGCTTCAATAGAGTTTACACAGATTTTCCGCGTAAAATATTTCATAATTTTGAGGGGAAAAGATACGCTATCGGGAGCCGAGGTGGCTAGGTGGGTAAGGCGCTAGCCCGAGCTAGCATTCGACCGCCGTACAGTGAGGACGTGTGTTGAGAGAGCTCTTGTGTCTTTAGCGGATTATCAAGTGTAGCAAGCAAGTCTTTATTAGTTTATGGAGTAATAGATATGTGATCCGGACATTATGTCTACAGAAATGGATACAAAACGATCTAGTTATCGACGGTTAAAGGAATGTACAGTGAAAGTAGTTTCAGATATTCGCCTCAATGTCGGATTACTTATTGACGAGATTGAAAAAGTTAGTGGATTTGATACAGTTTCAGCTTGTGTGCCAATGCATGGATATTATGAAGTGACTCTTAATACAGTGGAACAACTTACTACTTTTATAGAAGAAGGACTATGCATAGAGGGTAAACAATTAGAGGTGAGCTATGTTGGTTATAGGATTATTGTTGTGTCATTCATGAATATACCTCACTACATTTCGGACGAAGAGATTTACGAGAAGCTGACTGCATGGAAAGTAACCCCTGTTAGTGAGATACGAGAACGTTTTTATAAACACGGGGACAGAAATATAGCTGATGGGACACGTTATGTGAGAGTTAAATTCCCCCCACTGAGGTAGCTAGTCTTCCATACGCTACGAGGTTTGATGGCAGATCTTTCTATGTGAAACATGACGATCAATCCCGAGTGTGCTTTAATTGTTTAAAATCTGGACATGAAGTTAAAAATTGCCCTGACTATGTTTGCTATAGATGTAATATTTCTGGTCATACAAGACGTACATGTGAAGCAATAGAGTGTGTAAATTGTGGTCAATTTACTTGTGTCTGCGAGAAAGATACAACCGATGAGACATACGCTAAGACAACACCAGACTCTGAAGTGAGCGAAAACGCGAACACGGACAAAGTCGACAGTGAAAATACAGGAGAGATAGAAACAGGTGTAACTACAGAGGTGAGTGAAAATCAGACAGAAGAAGGTGCGAGTAATGTATCGATTGAAAAGATGTCAGAAGCTGAGGTGTTTACGGGTGAAGGCGAACAAGTAGAAATAGATCATCATGACGAAACGGATGAAAATGAATGGCGACAAAATAAATACGTATGACTATAACAAACGAATGAGAAATCAATTTAATAGAAAATACTTAATAGATAAACCTGCATCTAGATTGAGACTTGAACAATTAACTAAACAACGAAACGAACGTTATGACGCTTTTTTTTTAAATCCGCCAGCCCCAATAAAAGATTACCCTCTGTGACCAGTCAAGAACTAAATGTTCAACAAGGAAAGTCGTCAGTGATTCGGGAACGAAGAATTTAAGTTCATTATATCAACATGTTACTTTACAGTGTTTTTGTTAGTGTGTATTGTACTCGTGGCGTGACAGAATATAACGGTATCAGTGTTTAAAGTGTTTTCTTTGTGGATTATATATTGCCATTATTTAAACTTTTTAGTTTGTTATTCAAGTGTCAACATGTGGAATGTAGCGGGTTTTGATGTTTTATTCATTCCTGGATCGTGTGTGTTTTTATGGAGTATATATACACAGGATATCGATTTACATGGACATATCAGGATATATTATGTATTCGTTTCTACATTATATGTTTATTTCTCTGGTTTAATGTATATTCCCACTGGACTACATAATGTATGTTTCAATAATTTATACTCCTTACGGATTAACTATGGATTAATACCGACTCAAGGTAATTTGAAATTATTTTTGTATATTCCTACGCCCCCTTATTTTCTTTTTACAAAATGCTTAAGATAACTTCATGGAATGTAAACGGTCTACGTGACCGGTCTAAGCTAAGTAATGTTTTTAACCTTTTAAATGATATGAACTATCCCACATAACAATATGATGTTAATTTTACGTTACATTTACGTAAAAATGGTCAGTCAGTTTACCATCATTTTGCTCATCTTTTTAACGATAATTTTACGTCAGGAAATGACGTTAATCTAACGTAAACTTTACGTCATTTTTACGTTATATTTACGTCATTTTCTGACGTAAATCTAACGTAAACTTTACGTCATTTTCTGACGTAAATCTAACGTAAAATTTGCGTAAAGTTTACGTCATTTTCGTTAGATTTACGTCAGAAAATGACGTAAACTTTACGTTAGATTTACGTCAGAATATGATGTAAATATAACGTAAAAATGACGTAAACTTTACGCTAGATTAACGTCATTTCCTGACGTTAAATTGTCGTTAAAAGGATGAGCAAAATGATGGATATCTAACCGACCATTATAACGTAAATCTAACATTAAATTAACATCATTGACGGATGCCATTCTAATGTCAAATTTTGATGAGCAAAGTTACGAAAATATAACCAACCATTAAAACCTTCAAAATTATTCATTATTTGCGGCAGTAAATGGGAAGTACATTCAACCAATAATCAAATTTTCCTGACCCGTGGGTGAGGCTAAAAGTTGAGTGGTCCAACGTGTGCGCTTTAGATCATAAGGTCTGTCATTGAGTCAAGTGGTTTGTTTCCACACCCAACTTGAACATGGGTTTTCTCTGGGTCCTCCTACTACTAAAGATTCCTGGTGCGGATGAATTATTCAACTTGAATTGAATCACTTAGTCCCAAAGGACAGTTTATGTCTATTGGATGTTTTACCCCATTGCTCTCTATCTACCCATAACCAGTCAGAATTCTAAATGTATTGCACAGAAAAGTTAAAAATCTAGCAGAATTATATGACAAAATATACTACAAGTATGTATACATATACTTTATTTAAAAGACAAAAATATAATGTTATAAAATACAAAATACACATTTAAATATTAACAGTTTTTATCCACAGCTGTTTAAGAAATGAAGACGGGCATATGCCACACAGTGTGCAGAGCTATGGCGTACTCTTATATAAAATTCCAACTGCCAAGGGATCTTTCACACACACACACTTGAGTTTACACTGTACCTTGGTTTTTTTGTCCCTTCCGTATGACTAGTCAGCCATCCATGTCAGGTCCTCTGTCCGGCATCACTGACAAGGGAAAATGTTCAAGAAAAAGGTCTACATTAGCGCTATGAAAGTGTTGATATGCATATAAGAAAGAAAAAACTGGGATATAGACCAAATTGGGCCAAAACCTATAGCCTCTATCTTATTTGCTCAAGGTATTGATGGAATAGGAGTTAACTTTGGAATGAGTGAAATGAAATGGGGTTTAATGTCCTATTCCGACAGGGCTAATGACATGGAAATATGCTATACAGTGTCCTATTATGGAATTTTGTCCAGACAGTCTGGAAATCACTAAGAACTATCTCGGCCGACACTGGAATGGAATGTTGTGGAATGCTGAATATTAATAGGTTTCGTCCTCTCATGATTCCAGTGTGTAACTCAAATTTGAAAAAGATCAATTAAGAATAAACACAGCATCTATTGCATTTGAAAAAGGGAGAATTAACCAAGGAAGGCAAAATCCTGAAAAGCTGTATATTGATAATGCTTGTCCTCTCACAATCGGAATGATTCACATTTCACACCCAGTGTACGGACAAACAGGGCCAAAATTGATATGTGGGTGTATAAACAAAGATATATACTACACCAATATTACATGTGTTGCAGAATTGGTTTAACACATTTCAAATATAATTGTAACACGGATATTTGCAATGGTTGATCCATGACAAAAGATTTGAAATATTTTGAAGAGACGCAAAAGGTTACGCCATACAGTGTGCTATGAGGGAAATTTTGCCCGGGCAGCAGCGCTATGGCCTACTCTTGTATCGAATTCCAACTGCCAGGGGATCTTTTATGTGCACGCCAATGTGTACACTGGACCTTGTTTTTTTTTGTCCCATCCAAACGACTAGACAGCTGTCCTCGTCAGGCCCTCCGTCCTGCATCACTGACAATGGGAAACCACACCGGAAAATCAGGATGAACTGTCTCGGCCAATGCAGGGATCGAACACCCGACCTCAAGGCTAGCGAGTCAGCGTCTTACCCACTTAGCCACATGATCCCCCCTTGGCCTATGTACATGTAGAGATGAATTTTGAGCTACCTTTATATATATATTTCTATTTTTAAAACCCGCGACAACTATATTTATATCAAGGATGTAACCCTCTATCAGTTAACCCGTCACGGATTGGTTGCATTGGTGAACCGGTTCAAAATATTCGTTTCATATCATACCTGACCTTCAAATCCAGGAATTGTAGCCACAACGGGGATCACGTTGGTTAAGTCGGTAAGACACTGGCTATCTAGTCTGGAGGTCCCTGCATTGGCCGAGAAAGTTACTCCAGATTTTCCGGCGTGGTTCTCCCTTGTCAGTGATGCAGGACAGAGGGCTAGACAAGACAGCTGTCTAGTCATTAAAATGGGACAAAAAAATGAGGTCCCCTTGAAGTTAGAATTCGATATAAGAGAAGGCCGTAGTGCCACTGTCCGGGCAAAATTTCCCACATAGCACACTGTATGGCGTATGCCCATCTTCATTAGCCCAGTTCAGAGCAAAACAGTAGGACGTTAAACTTTCATTTCACTAGCCACAGCTCTGTTTTCTTTCACCAAAGGGGGGGGGGGGGGGTGGATGGCTGAATGGTTAGCGTGCGCGCTCTGTATCATAAAGTCTGTCATTGAGTCAACTGGCGTGGTTTCGAATCCCCGATTGTACGTGGCAAGGAGTAGGGTCGCCTGTCCAACCTCGTGGGTTTTCTCCGGGTCCTCCGGTTTCCTCCCACTGCTAAAGACCCCTACGCGCAAGCGAATTATGTAAATAAAAAATTAAACTATATATGTTAGTCCCGAAATGACCTAGTTTGTGTCGAGTGGACGGTAAATCCCATTTCTCTCTCTCTCTCTCTTTCACCAAAGGGGGGGGGGATCAAGTGGCTAAGTGGGTAAGACGCTGGCTTGCTAGCCTGGAGATCGGGTGTTCGATCCCTATATTGGCCGAGAAAGTTCATCCTTATTTTCCGGCGTGGTTTCCCTTGTCAGTGATGCAGGACGGAGGGACTGACAAGGACAGCTGTCTAGTCGTCATGGGACGAAAAACCGAGGTCCCGTGTAGACATTGGCGTGCACGTAAAAGATCCCTTGGCAGTTGGAATTCGATATAAGAGTAGGCCGTAGCCCCGCTGCCCAGGCAAAATTTCCCTCATAGCACACTGTATGGCATATGCTCGTCTTCATTAGCCCAGGTTAGGAGCAGAACAGTAGGACGTTAAACCCCATTTCATTTCATTTCTTTCACCAAAGACCACATAAATACTTCATTTAGCACTTGTCATTTGAAACAGTTATAGCCTTTGTCTTGTCTGGAAGAGGGGGCATCATCACATTACCATACAGGGTATAAATCGATGTTGAGTATAAGTCAAATTGCCAAATTTTACATTTTTCCGACCTACATCCATAATTAAGTAGAGGCGGTATATAAGACTAATGTTTTTCAACTCCACGAGTTTCGGGACTGTTATCCTAGTCTAATACCGTGCCAGTGTACGCCAAAGAAAAGTTGGGCCATATAAATAATGAGGGTCTGGGACAGTTGTCAATAACACTTGCATTTATAAACAAACATGAATCGTGATGACGAATTAGAATTCAATAAAAAAAACCAACATAGATATGGCCCATGAAGAGAGAAATTTTACAATAAAAAACATTAAGAGTGTTGGATATTGAACTGACAATGCAATCAAATGGATTTTCAGAAATGGCATTCTTATATAAATTTCATGGGCGTCAACATCTTGTTTTAGGACTAGTTACCTCCCTTAGACTTTGTTTATGATAATGTAAAAGACCGGATAATCTAGCCTATGGCCGATTATTCTCAAATGTTGACAACGCAACCACACTAATATTCGTAGAATATAGAATATTTTTTTCTAGATGATAGAGACTAATAATATGCCAACATTGAAATGTGTGCATAAATATGGTATATACTTAACTACACCAATATTATACCTATGTCATAGAATTTGTTACACACATTACAAATATAATCTTAATAGAGATCTTTGCTATGGTTGATCTATCAGTAAAAATTGGAAGATTTGTAAGGAACGCAAAAGGTTATTGTTTACTGGCTGCAGCAGGGAGCAATAACAGGAACACAGATGATTTTCAACTCACTGATACAACTCAGTTTAAACTTTAAGCCAAAGAGCTGTTATATAATACTGTGACAGGATATCTGCTCTAAACTAACTAGTCATCAAAGAATTGACTGTCAAAAGTTCAGACAAAGTATTTTAGGCCTACAATGCTTGTAAAGCTTTGGCCTACATTCTGATGATATTTGTGCTACCATAGATACATATATATTTATATCATTACATTATGTGACAAGTAGTAGTGTTTGGCAAGTAGTAGTGTTGTCTAACTTTCATTATAAAGCCCATATAAATCCTTTTAGAACTTCTTTGTCATTACTGCCACCAAGGGTGCTCAAATATACATGTAGGATCTGTAAAAAAAACCAAAATAAATAAAAAGCAACTTTATACTCCCAAAAAAAACGTAATTGGGTTAAACGGCCTACTGTTCAGCTCCAACTGGGCTGACAGCCAACCTACTGTGGATCTGTAATGAAATGGGGTTCAACATCATACTGTGCTGCTCAAACTGGGCTAAAGAAGTTGGACAAATGCTTGGAAGTGTGCTGTGATGGAAATTTTGACTGGACCGTG